ACTCACTCTGCCATTCCGGTTGCATCAGCCTTCTCTCCTCCCTCACTGCTGTGCTGCAGATTTTGGGCCCCGATTTCCGGTAACACCTGCAGCAAATCGTTATGAAAATCATCAAACTCAATGAACAAGCATATTGTGCTAAGTAACAGTACAAGACTGGTAGATGGTTTAATGTTAATTAGAAGGTTGAGCATGCACATGTGGAACCCACCACAACTGGCAGATTGAGCTGGCAGAAGCACAGAAAGCAGACAGTTGGTTAGGTCTGTTACAGGTCAACCAGCCAAGTTGTACATTAAAATCCAGATTCCAAAAGCTGTCAACTGCCTTCAGAGTATCTCTCTATATGAACGCTAACAGGCAGGGTATGCCCTGTAGGTGTGGGTTATTCAGGTCAGGAAGGTGATCAGTAGACAATTGAAGATATTCAGAACTTCAGACTTGGATAACAACAATCCTGCCACGAACCCGATTCCAGTCTAGAGTTCACTCACTTCACAATCCAACCACATCTCAGCCGCTGGCACTATTCTGTTCTAACCAAATAGGATCTTCACCAACAGGTCTTACTGATCCAACTGGGTCATGGATCAACTTAAAACCTGCAAGTTTTCCCACCTGATTTGACCCAACTTTGAAGGAGGTGCCTGTCCCCATCTTTCCAACTAGTAAGATATGTTAATATGCACAAGTTTTGCCAGGTACGTGCAACACGTACGCCCCACACACACACAGAAATACAGAGGGATGACACGTAGAAACACAGCAGACATACAACAAAGTAACGTATGCTCTGTTGTCACTGGGTTTAGCAAGAGTCTTCTACTCCCACAGCCCCTGACACAGGTCCTAGTCCTACTGTTAAGAAAGCCAAAGTATTTCTACTGAGAATCGAATGAGGCTGTGCAGAGAGAACCACCCTTACTAATAACTTCCTAGATTGCTCTCCTCAGACACTGCTACAGGTTTGGGCCACTGACCGCCATCAGAGAGGAATCTGGAACCTGCCTGAACACTGCTCTGCAAGAGCGACTGCCCTGCCGCAGCACTTCCCCTGCCAGCTCTGCAGCTGACCACGACTCGCAGCAGGGTCCGAACTGGGCAGATGGCTTTTGGCTCACTCAGAAACGTTCAATGCCACCCTTGATCCTGGATGTGTCTACTTCTGACAGCGGCCGTGTCAAGATGCATCTGCTAGAATTAACTCTTCTGCGAATACAGTCAACACTCACCACCTCTCTTCTTCACTTCCACTTGCTGCAGAATGTGAATCATCTCCTCTCTGACACTGCAAGTTGAACTGTTTTTTGCATCTTACAGATACACATGGGAGTAAATGCTGAAATGAGTCCAACAAGCCATGATTCAGCACATGTCGGGCATTCTGCTAATTACTAGTCCAGCTGTCTAGGAGAGATACTAAGAACCGGACCGTGCAAACTTTATTCCCTAGGATGTATTTCAGTAGCACTGCTCATGACAGAGGATGACGCCTCCAGCCCTTGGCCTAGTAAAAACTCTGCCCTGGATTTACAGCAGGTTTCAGATGTATGCAGACCCTCCACACATGTAGTTCCCAGGGGAATGACCCGAGATTATCCCTACACCAGATACGCACATGAATTTCTCTTTGGGCTAAGCACGTTAACTACTTCTCTTTACGATGAAAATGGTTTAGAAGCCCTTACTAATGACAGCTTCGACCTCCAAGACTAAGTATACTTAAACAAAAATCCTTCTGCACTTCCCCTTTTCCCGGACAGTCCCACCTCCATTTTAGAACAGGATTTTACTCCCTCCTGAGCCACTGGGCTAGTATTTTGCTGGGGGTGGTGGGGAGAAAGAAGAAATAATACTTTTGCACTGCTGAGCTGACTATTTTCACTCCTATACATAACACATATGGTATGTGCACGTATTTTAAAAGACGGATCCATCCCTCATCTCGGACACCATGCATAACTACATCTCTTTACCTGCCAAGGAATACTGAAGGGATAAACACAGTCACCCTGCTCAACACTTTACCTCATGGCCCAGTCTCACTTGATCATCCAGGCTGTTCACCACACTGAAGCCGAGATCACGAGAGGCGTTTTCGTTTTTACTCTTACTCAGCTCATGAAAGCACTTCCACTTTTCATTTTCAATTGCCAACATTTCCTTTCCTGTTTTTGAAACAACTCGGAAACTCTCTCCACTCAATCCTCCTTGGGCCTGACATATTACCACTGGTGGAATATAGTCTCTTGATGGTGGACCTATAGCCTTCCATAAAAAAGTATTAACTCCAGAAAAAGTGTTATTGGCATTTTGGGAAGCATCATCAGATCTGTTCCAGTGTCCTTCTTGAAAACCTTGCTGAGAAAGCTTTTGCATTTCGGTGGCCTCTGATTTGTCCAGCTTCTCCTCTGTTCTGCACAGGGAATCTGCTGCCTGCTGACACATGCTCTGGAGAATCTTCACATCAAGGATACACCTGCTGAAGATGTGCTCCATGTTCTGGGACAGACTACTTGCTCTTCTTCCAGCATCTCTCACCTGCATGCATGGGTCAGAGGTCTCACTTATCCTCTCCTCCTCTTCCGTACTGAACTCTGTACTCGATTCTGAAAAGCCACCTTCCTCATGAACTGGCTTTTCCTCACAGTGCACTCCAGGGGATGCATACATTTCCCTGAAGGAAGCTTTATCTTCTTCCTCTTGCTGCCTTTTTTCATCCTTCATGGTTTGACCTAACCCACTTCCTTCTTCCAGGAAGTCTTCACAAAGTTCTGGGTAACTAGCGAGTATTTCATTGACTTCAAAGCTAGAGAGGCTGTCATCCGCATCACTGACACTGAGGGTTGCCTGGAGTTCAGAACTCGCATCACGATCTTTGTCCTGAGCAACTGGCTGTAGGCTGGTTGCTGCCGCTTGGTCCCCTAAAGCACTATTCTCCTCAGGAAAACGAGAGTATCTTGGGTCAGTAGAGGTGTCTGAAAAAACAGATTTTAAGTGTTAAGCCATTTCTCCACATGTCCACCAAACACGCTGCTTTTGTACACTTAGGAGTTAACAACTTGAGCTGACATTAGGGAGCATTGAGGTCTTGAGTTGACATTAACAATTAGGGTGGTAGCTGGAAGCCAAAGCTAACTGCTTTCTATTTTCAAACAATGCCATAAAATCTGTAAGTGGTCACATTTTAATTATTCAGATTAGACATTTATGGACTGAGGAACATGCTAAGTGAAAGACACCTGACATCTTGCTAGAATATACTCACCAGCCTCTGTTATCTCTCTTCCCTGCAATTCCTCTGTTCTCTCGTGGTACCGAAAAGCTGAGGCCAAGCAGATGTCCACACCTGCAAAAGCAGCAGGCCTCTGTGCTTTTGACAGTTCATCAGCGGGACCGGTTTGAGACTTAGTTAAGTCCTGCAATACAAAAAAAATGGAATAAAAGACAACTATATTTGAAAGTTCAATGTCTCTACCTTCTCTTTTAAGGTGGTTTGCCTCCATGATCAGAAAAGGATATTCAGTGTTCAGACTGCACCCAAAAAAGCCTCCCACCTAGATTTAAGCAGAACAACTTGAATCTGAATGGACAGAAAACTGTGTCCTTTTAAATACATGAAAAGCTATAATCCTGAGAGTCACCTTTAAGTCATTTTCCAGTATATGTCGAATATCGTGAAGTTTCGTGGAACGGTTCTTCTGTTTAGGTTCCAGCCCTGACTTTATGATACCGTAGTAGGGCATAGGAAGTCTGACATCTGCTTCTAACTCTTGGCCCGAAATGATGAGCTGTTTAATAACTGAATCTTCAACACCTTTCCAGGGAGGGGTCTCTGCAAGACATAAATATAGACTTTATGTCACAAGCTGTAGATCAGTGCTAATGAAAAAAAAAACGAGGGGAAAAAAAGAAAAAGAGAAAAGAACCAGTGCATTATTGTCTGCATATTCCCTAAGTTGCAACTACTGTCACGAACCAAACCAGCCCTCAGTGCAGCCTGGCATCTCCTCCCAGTCTTATTTCAACAGTGGATGCTTTGAAGGGAGCTGACAGCAATCTCTAGAGGACAGTTACACTGTAGCCCATGGTCTGGATTCTTCATTACCAATTAGCTAATAGAAGGTTTAATTTTTAGGGTAATTGTTTATCCCATTTCACTGTCAAAATTGTCAAAGTCAGCACATAATGCAATGTATGTTATGTGGAATAACAATAACGATACATTATCTCTAAGTTCTCTTAGTGGCCAAAACGATGAACTCCACATGGGCTCATGTTGCACAGAGAGTTCACGGGGTGTTTTGCTGCCCTTGTATGAAGGAGAAAGGTAAAGAGCAGAAAAACACCATACACAAAACTGCATGTCTCTCATACCAGCCATTAATCTTATCCTCTAGTTATGAAATTTTAAGTCTTCAGGCTACACTTCACAGAAGTTTCCAGCAATCTTTGCTATTGTCATTAACATCCGAGGGGGTTTTTGCCTGGAGGGTTCCTCTGCCAAGTTAATGAGCCATTACAGCGAGGTTTTATCCAGTCACACAGGGGAATTAAACAGAGGTTTGGGGGCTGAGAGTCTTCATTGAAAGTATCCACTGGGCTGCCCTAGAGACAAAAGCCTAAGCCTAGAGAAGTACCTGTCAAGGCCTCCTGCACTACTGTACAGAAGCTGTAAATATCAGATCTGACTGTAACAACTTTTTCAAGGATCACTTCAGGAGAGCACCACTTATACAGCTGGACTGGGACAGGAATACGTGTCAGATCACTGTGTTCTCCACCATCTTTGCTGTATAAAGGGAAAAAACACTGTAAATTGGGACATACAGGAACCTCAACTACAAGTTACACCTTACAGAATTAAGCACCCAAGCATGGTATATCTTTTTTCCAGTTTCAACACTTAAAAGGTCCAGAGTAGACCTGCAAATAAAAATGTGTCAGATTTTCACACCCATAATCATATTTTGGCACATTACAGCCAAGACTTTCTGGTGAAAGAAACACCTCTTTTAACAAACGTACACTCAAAAAGAAATTGGAAAAAGTTGAAAATTTCCCAATATGAATTTTACAAACTACCCTTTAGTTCTGGCCAGCGTTCTCAGCCCAGGGACAAAAGACAAGCAGGTGCCACCCAGCCTGTCAACATTCATTTTGCAGCGTATACATGTGTCTAGAAGGTAACTTCCTCCTCACATTTAACTACAGGGTTGTTTTGTTACCCATTTCACAGTAAGATGTATCTGTAGCTAAAAAAACAGCCAAGATTTATTAACAAATTGAATTTGCAAGGAGGTCAGGAAGTAGCTTTGCTCCTTTCAGGACATTATCACTGGCAAATTATTGTTTATTATCAATTTTACTCTTTCTTTACAGTGGAAACAGCCATTTGCTTCCTTTCTAATCAGACTGCACTACAGGAAAGAAATAGAAGTGCATACAATAATTTACCCAGATGAAATGAATGGTGTTCCTTGTAAAAGAAATACTCTTTTTGTCACTGGTAGCACTTAAATACCAGTTCGTGGGGGTGTGGAATCTTTTACCATTTTAGGTGAGCCTCCAAAAGCACAAGTTCAGTATAACAAGGGGAGACTCCAATTATTTCCAGCCCAACAGCAGCATTAGTGACTCAGAGGAATTTAATCTCTGTTCTCTAAGATTAGGTTCTATTTCTCTGTGATGGTATTTTTGTACTCCGGTGAAGAGCTGCTTCTCGTACTAGCTTCTATTTGCAGATAACTTGTAACACAGAAGCTAAGTCCACTGAAACCTGATGTACTACCTGTAGCAAAGTTATTGTACCTGAGCAGTAATAACTGGGAGTTTTTACTCCTCTGACTCTGTTGCCTAACTTGGAGGCAGGAGACCCTAGTCATCAAGAGGGGCATTTCAGCACAAAATTTGACTTTACTTGTGTTTGTCCTTTTCAGAGAAACAGCAAAGAAGTTCTTTACCTCTCTATCATGTATTCCAAGTTGCACAGCTTTGCCACACCAGAAGAAACCATTTGAATAGCATAGGAGGTAACTGAACGGTGGATAAATCCATGGGAGTGTAAAAACCGCAAAGCATCATTAATCTGAAGCAGCACATGCAAAATCGTCTCTATGTGCAGCACTGGGAATTCTGTATGCTGAAAAAAACCCAGAATTACCAAGACTTTAAAGTCTGATGTAGCAAAAAACTATTACAGTACAGAAGGTGGCAAAGAAAGCAAGGGCGAAATGTACCGTAGCAAGTCAGACAAGTTGCCCTTGCTAAATCATGTTTGCTTTCTATACCAAACCAACTAATAGTACCTTAAAAAGTAATTAAGAAAAAGAAAGGTATTGACTATGCCAAGATTCGTTCTGAAGCAGACTCAAGTCTAGTATTTCTTGCCTTTGACTACAATTTCTCCAGTAACTTAGATGTCTGCATTCTAACAGTTAAAGAAGTAAAAGAACGACTCAGTTAACTGCGAAAAAGGAAGAAAAACATTGAATGACAAAAATAAAATTCAGATCAGTTGATTAAAAAAAGCCCTTCTTCCTCTCAGTTAATTACTATTTAAAAAACAAGTATTCCGATTACCCTTTCATGAAGGATGCTGTACAGGGAACCAAAGTTAACCCTTTCATAGACTAAACGGGTTTTCTTCAAGTCACTAGACAGACAAACAGACATCAACTGCAGCAAATGAGGATGATGGAGTTTACTGCAAAGGGAGAGAAAAAAAAAATGTAAGGCCTGGCCTTCTAGGTGTTTTTATCAATACGTGAATGCTTCTAACTTTTCATTAAAATACACAAAAATTTTAAAAGAACCTCAGATCAGGAGGCATTTAGGAAACAGTGCTTACTGTTGTAACTAGGCAAATATATAAATAAGCCATCCAGGAAACGTGCAACGAAGCATTCACCCAGCTGTACGAGAAAAGCACCACCTTCCCCTGTACAGGGGATGATGAGAGAAAGCGCAGCCACGGCCTAGCAGTCCTTCCGAGGTTAATCACACTTTCTCACATCACTGGAGACACCCAAGCCCCAGGAGAACTTGTGGCTACTGCACATTCTTTCTTACCTACTATGTTCCTGCTCTGCAATGAGAAGATCAGCTAAGCGCTGTTGACTACAGTTCTGATGGGGCTTAAAGCTCAGTTCCTTCACTGTAACTCTGCTGCTGCCCCACATTAAGCTACAAGGAGAAGAAAAATAATTTGTATGAGTTGTTTTCTGCGGTATTTCTTTCCAGTTGGGATTACTTACAATTTTCTAATTCTGAAACGCTCTGGTGCTGCCTCCTACTGTTCGTAACACTATGTGGATTCACTCTTTCAAATGGGCAGCAAACTCTCACGCTGTTAAAGACTGGATGTAGCAGGACAGGTTTGCTGTCCACAAATGCTACCCCTCCCTGACCCAAGGTAAAGAACAAGGACACTCTAAACCCCCTTTCACTAGAGGCCATGAGCCCACAGTGATACAAGCCAGAGCTTTGGGAAGATTAAATCACCAATTTGCAAATTCTACTCTTTCAAATGGGCAGCAAACTCTCACGCTGTTAAAGACTGGATGTAGCAGGACAGGTTTGCTGTCCACAAATGCTACCCCTCCCTGACCCAAGGTAAAGAACAAGGACACTCTAAACCCCCTTTCACTAGAGGCCATGAGCCCACAGTGATACAAGCCAGAGCTTTGGGAAGATTAAATCACCAATTTGCAAATTCTCTGGGTGCCTCTGAGGCACGACTACTTGCAACACAACACGAAAGATTTAAAAAGCCTCAGCCTGCACTTGCAACTCTCATTTCACTAGAGGTTTAAGCAAGCTGCAGACATATATATCCAGATCCAACGATTACAGAGACTAAACACTGAAAAATGCAATCTCTGCAACCCCAGCAACCTATCTCCCACCACAGAAAGAATCAATACTGAAACATTGCTAAATATTGCTGGGAAGGTCAAGAGCAACCTACAGATATCAAGAGGGTCAAAAGAAGATATTAATCAGCGGACCGCAGAAAACAAGTCACAAGCAGGAAGCAGTGGATGAATATAGACAAGGAAAACTATCCAAACAAAACATCTGGTACAACAACTTGCTGCTTAATAGTAACAGATACACACTAAGAGGGACTAAAATCCCTTTGATTCCACTCACTTTGTCATGATCATGTAGGGTCCAACATGGTAACAGAATGTTGGTTCATCATCTGCCTGAACCACGTCCTTTTCCCCAATAACAGGGAGAGATGCCAAGTACCCTAGGCGCCCACTGCCTGCAAGACAAAACTGAAACACCCCCAGGGCATAACTACCAGCAGTGTGCAACAGTTCCCAAGACCTGTCACATCTGTCACAAACTCATTAAAATAATTTGAGTGCAATCACTGCAATGGGAGCATCAGCTCAAGCATCAAGTGAAATGTTAAGATCTCCGTGTCAAAAACTTAACTTTCAGTGAAGCTGAAACAGGTAGAGCAGAAACAGTCATTAAAGAACTCCCATGGGTGACATTTAACAGGGGAGATCCTATTGCCTGTTCCCAAACACCTTCCTCTGACAGGGCCTACTAATGACTCAAGGCCTGAATATTTGAGCTCTCCACAAGTTTTTCCCCACCGTGTTAGCAGAACCAAGAACACAGTAAGAATTAAAAATAACACGGGTGGGGTAATTACTGTGAAGAAGACTCCGAAAAACTGTGCCAATACCATTAGAAAAGCATTATCCATAGCATCTTACCTTCCCAAAACCAAAGCTGTAAATGGTCTTGGCTGCAGTGGCTCCACCTTTTAGAAATCTACCCAGAGGGCTGTCAACGTTTCTAAGTATCAAAAACATAAGCCGTAAGAGTAACTAATGTGCCAAGGCTTCGAGTAAAACACAAAAAAAGAGGAAAAATGCAGAAATGCTGCAACAGCCATGTATTTCAAATGTTGCACTTGACTAGGTCCCACACAAAAAAGTATAATGTGGATGCTAAAATTCCAAAACATTGTGTAATTCATTAAAATTGTTAAGATACGGTTATGATACGTTTGTTTAAAGCAAGATAGTAAAAAAAAAATATATCTCTATAGACATCCTGCATTGCTTTTTGTTCACAAGTATGTATTTCTCCTAACATGTATCCAACATAAAACAGAAACACACCCCTAAAAAGCTTTGCAGCGACCTTAAAAGGCCCAGAAACAATCTACTTCACGTGACTGACATGTGAATACTACTAAAATCCAGAATTTCATATTGCTGATTTCAGGAGTATCTCTTAATATACAGAAACTTACAACTATCAGGTTTCTATTTGGAACTCTCCCAACACAAATAAAAAGTATCATCATTCCTAACAACATTGGTATAAATCAGAAATTTTCAGAAAGAACATGTTAATTTCAATATAATAGAATATGGAAGGAAAAGTCCTTGTAGCTCAGACCTTCAGTACTTGAGAATCTATTCTTACCCTTGAACAAGACCACCAAACCTCGATGGACTGCAGACCAGCATTTTTGATGAGCCAGCCTTCCTGAGTAGATCAGAGTGAAAATTTTGAATGGCAGCCTGCATGTGGAATGTACAACGCTCTATAAATTCCAGCATCTAGAGAGGAGGGGGAAAACAACACAAACATTACTTCAGAACTGAAAGATACACCATCTGAATCGATCTGGACTAGTGTAAAAATAACTCGTTACTTGCAATATTAAAATAGGCATTTCAAGAAATGCATACACAGGAAAACTTCAAGAAAAATCAGTTACATGCAAAGGTAAGAGAAAAGCTTAGTTCAAAGACTAGATGACTAACTTTCAAGACATTTTACCGACTGAAAATTGTAACATCAGGCTTCTTTTTAAGAGGAGCATTGTAATAACAGACAAGAGGACAAGAGGACAGACAAGTTTTACATCAATATCGCCGTCATGAATAAGCCTTGATACATTATGCTGTCCTGCTAGCAAGAATGACACGTTTGCTGACACTGTTCACACGCAGACCGACACACGTGAAAACTACTTCAGGTTTCCTCTTGAATCACACATATGTGCAAACAAACTACACACATAAGGGATCAAAAACAAAGCCTTGTCATTCTCCTCACTGCACACTCACACATAAAGGTCCTAACAAGTTAGACAGACATGGCCCTGCACCTGAGTAAAACCTTAGTTAAAGAATCTGAACCATGAGGACTTCAAAATACCGTTACTGATGTTGAAAAATACTATTAAGCATTTTTTCTAACATGTACAAGGCAAGAATTTCTCCCTAGAATGTTGGAGTTTCTTCATTTTAAGACGAAGATGTGAGCACATACCTAGCAGGTATTCAACACGTATTACACACACGTACCTTAGCACTGCTTTTATTTCCAGCTGACATAGCCCAATACTGTGGAGTTTTTCCATCTTTATCATGTACTCGCAGATCACCTCCTTCATCCAGCAACCTGCTAAGAATCCACTGATTGCCTGAGAACGCAGCTGCATGGACTGGGGTGCTTCCATCGTAACAGCGACTGGGGAACGTTAAAACAGAAAGGTTCCAACCTACCCCTACTACACTCAACCAGCTGTGCCTCTGAGAAAAAAAAGCAGCATACCTACACACTGATGTACTCCCAAACAGCATGCACCATGAAATAAGGAAAATCAGGCACACACCTCTGAGGCTTTTTGGCTAAAATAGCAACATGCATCTTAAGAATTAGAACAGGCATCTTAATCTTACTTGAATTCTTCCAGTACCTGAAGGGGTGAACAAGGAAGCTGGGGGGGAATTTTTACAATGGCCTATAGTGACAGGACAAGGGGTAGTGGGGGTTTAAATGGAAAGAGGGAGGTTTAGATTAGATATCTGGAAGAAATTCTTCCCAGAGAGGGTGGTGAGGCACTGGGACAGGTTGCCGAGAGAAGCTGTGGATGCCCCATCCCTGGAAGTGTTCAAGGCCAGGCTGGATGTGGCTTTGAGCAACCTGGTCTGGTGGAAGGTGTCCCTGCCCATGGCAAGGGGGTTGGAATTGGATGATCTTTAAGGTCCCTTCCAACCCAAACCATTCTATGATTCTATGTATTTCTTCATTTATGTACAGTGAATATTGTCTATTACATTGACTGAAACCTCTAAAAGATTAAACATTTGTTTCAATTTAAGAATAAAAATTTATTTTTTGACTTAACTGGTTAGCATCTGAGCCATAATCCAACAGCGCATCCACTATTTTACCAAGACCTAGCAGCGCAGCAGTGAAGAGAGACGTTTGGCCCATGGAATTTACAGCATCAACAAAAACGCCTACAAGAAAAAAAGATTACGAGGTGAGTGCTTGTGTCCAACCCCCCAGATAAAAGGCAATGGTTCATGAACACTGAAACTGAGCACCGTATTCCCTCTGAAATACTGGAAAGGTGGACACCCCCACACTCCGACATCCTCTGCCTCCGTTGCCCAATCAGCCACGCCGCTCTCAGCCAGCAGCCACATGGACACCACCCCGACCCCCCTCAAGCAGCCCCAGGAAGCCCCCAGCCTGCACATCCCGCCCCCAGCGCACACCTACAACAGCACATCCCATTGGAGCTCTCGGTACTGAAACGGAACAGCCCTTACTGTGGGGTTTCATTTACAACATTCCGTGTTCCCCTGGAGTGGAGAATCTAGGAGTCAAAAATGCCAGTATCGAACCCAGACTTCAGCCTTTTGCAATCAGAACTACCTAAAATCCAGTTCAAAGAGTATATTCCCAAAGTAGACGCTCAGAGTGTTGGTTTTACACCACCTCAATTCTCTCCTTCTGAGCACCTTACAGCTCAATGCTTGTGTTTCATTTTGCCAATTATCCGACCTTTTTGGATTCAGTAATTAGTTCTGCTTACCAGGAATGGCCAACTACAAGACATTTTGTAAACGTATTTCACTCATCAAACTGAGTGGTACAGGCAGCATGTTACTTTTTTACTGCAAATATGAGTGTACAGGAAAAAGTACAATTTTTCCACCAACTTGCCTAAATTTTGCTTTTACCTTTTCCCAGAAGCTTCTTCACTTTCACAGAGTTTCCCTGCCTGACGTATTCATGCAGCTCGGCTTCCGGAGAGTCACCCTGTGTA